CACCAAATACTGAAAGCATATCAGTAAATCGGGTTACTTTATATTAAGGAGAAACTATGCTAAAATAAACTATGGATATTTATACAGTGAGTTTTAGATGTTAAAGAAAATGGGGTATCATTATTTCTTGTACAATATGTTGCGTGTTTATTCACCGTGTTCCTCCTGAATGAAAGAAATCATCGGCAGATGTTACTGACATACTGAAACTCCAGTGCATTTGAATGTTTTAGTCTTGATCTAAATCTTCCATATTAAGCATTCTATTTTAAGCATTCTATGATCTTCAAATTGCTTTCAGGATATTTTAGAGGAAAACAAATAGCTTAAAGTTAGGTCGCAGAAGCACGCTGATAAAAGTTTTTGAATACTCTTCTGCTTATATTTATAATTTATCAATAGAAAAGCTGCTTCTAAATTATAACAAATTTAGGGCACAATATTCAAGCTGAAAACAGTTATTAAAAATCAACCCTCGACAGCAGAATAATGCTATGATGAAAACCAAGATCTTCATCTCCATATATTTATATAACTGCTACAAACATGCAATTTAATTGATGTAGATTCTGTTTGTAATCATTATTTAGACGAGATGCATTAATATAATATGATAATTTATATTCTCGTGATAGTTGTCTTGTTTAATTCTCCCAATTTAAATTGTCTCCCCGAGTATTCAGAATTATAATTCCTAAAAAATTCGGTTCTAAATTAGAGACAATACGAGTACAATGCGCACAAAATAAAATATGTTTTGAAGCTATTTAAATCTGGCATTAAGATTCTTGAATAATTTATTCCAATGGCCCGAATTTCAGTACAGCATGCATATCATCATTTCAATGCATCAGTACCAAAGTTAATTTTCTGACTACATAACCATCGTGAACAATATATTAGACCGCACAAAACCAATCTAAGTGTCTCCTCTAGCAATATAAGATACCGTAACGAAGTTATCCGTCCATACAGGAAGAGAAATTTTCATATCGATGACACTTTCTGATAAAACTTTTAAGTTCCAAATACCGTAGATGTCAAGGGCATCGGATACACTTTATCCTTCTAATATTGATTTTAACCTAACCATTTGACTCTAAGATGGAAAAACTGTTTAATGCAAAACCTCTCTTGATATAAAGCATTGAATATTCTTATAGCATATTTAATTAAATAATACTATGGCTGTCCTGGTTCCTACAGTTTATAATACCCGCTGAGAGCAAGATAGATCTAAAACTAATGTAAGCATTGAAATTAACTGCTAGGCTGTATATAAAGGTACAGCGATGTGCAACGATTTTGCTGAGTCTTGAAAATAGATGATAGAATCTATTAATAAATCAAAATTATTTCATGGTTCTTACGAATGTTTAGATATTGTTCTTTCTGAATAGTACACTGCTCAAAAAAAAAAAAAAAAAAAAAAAAAAAAATATGGGACAGTTCTATATTTCCCGTTCTACTGGGCCGATTGACGAAATTCCAAATTGCGTTCTTCATGTCTCGAAAGCGCGACTTAGGATATATATTAGATTTATATATAGCACTATTCTAATATAGGTATTTTGACACAAAATCGGACTTTTTCTGAAATAACATACCAATTTTTTTACATATTTCGATTCTACAGCTCAAATTACGCCTAAATATGAAATTTTGTAAAATTTGGAGCGAAATTTACGGAGAAATTCACAAATTTATGTTGGCACTTTTTGTTCAGTTTGCGCCAAGAATAGTTCACTTGGCGAACTTCTTAATATATGGCAACCTAGTTTCCTTTCCCGTGAGAGGAAAAAAAGTCACCATCATTCCTTTTTTCCAAATAATATTCTTTATATTATATTTTTTATTATAACTGTTATTATTTTAAGTATTTTTTTCTTTTTCGAATTTCATTTTAATTGTTTAAGTTGCAGTTTTTTTTTTTTTTTTTTTTTTTTTTTTTTCGAATAACTGTTTTAAAAATTTCTATTTACCTATTCGAACTGCGTAAATAAAGGTGCAATGTTTCTTTTTTTTTCAAATAGTTTTCTTTATATATATTTTTTATCATAGTTATTATTTTGGGAAGTTTTTAAATTTTTATATTTTTATTTTAATTGTTTGTGTTGCATTGCCTCTTCAGATAATTGTTTTAAAATTTTCTATTTATTCCTTCGAACTGAGCATTTTAAATATATTTATCAATATAAATTTTGCAGAATTTGATTTTATTTATTTGAATTGCGTTTCTTTTGGAAGAATACTTTGTAATCCAGACTACGATGCGTTTGAAAACTGCATATATTAAAAGAGAAAATACAGTAAAGCACAGTTAACACGCCTTTGAATGTTCCGTTCAGAAAAGATATATATAAATAAGAGATATGTATAACCGACATTTTAACTTAGGATGACTTGCATAAACTGCTTTAAACAGTTTTATCATTGTGCCCATTGCTTTACCCAATTGTATCCTACATTTGGTTTCTTAAAATGTTATTGATATTTTAGTGAAATTGTTAAATTTAGTTAAAATGTTATTGATATTTAGTTTTTAGTAATCGCAAGAATCAAATATCATAAGATTAAAAGGTTTTAAATTAAAAAAAATATAAATACTAAATTTTACGCAAAAATTTATTTTTTCTAAAGATTTATACTTTGATCCAAGGCTTCAATATAAAGAGTAAGGAGAAGTGAAATTAGTTAAAACATGTGTAAATATTACAGGATTATTTGCCAAATATATTCTTCGATTGTTACCATTATTTGTGAGGGGAGTTGCAGAATTTTGATGTTTCTAATTTCTTTGTATAATTGAGAAATATTTTTGGTCATGTTTATATTTATCTGCCATCAAATTTATATCCATTGTTGCTACCGATTGAATGATTTAGTGATGTCTTCAGACTGGCTCTCGAAGTAGCTTTCAGGTCATATTGGGATGCTGGAAAGATGATCAAACCTTATCATTTAAAGGAAGTAAAAGTCAATAACAAGGTTTTTGTAGGTGAATCATTGCTACCACTTGAATGATTTAGTCTCTAGAGAAAGTCATTAATTCAATCTCTAGAGGGTTGTATGTTTATATCATAATTTGACTTTTATAAAAATGATTATTCTAAATATTATGTTTCTATAAAAGTATATTGTGCTTTAAAAATGTGGATGATAGTATCAGCCGCTCTTTGAGCCACTTCAGAAGCAACAGTTTGTTTAGAAATAAATTATACAGTTAATGTCATAAAATTCAAATAAACATCAAACGAAAATTCTCAGTTTAAGACAATTCGATTTAAACGAAGTAATGTAGCAGACGATAAAACGCCGAAGGTAAAAATTTACTCTTATTTTTTATTTATTTATTTATTTATTTATTGTTAAAAAAGATAGAGAGAAATAAAAAAATAGTTAAAAATTTGAATAATATCATCGATAATTTAAAAAAATAGCTTTTCATTTAGTATTAATAAATATTTATTACGCATCATTGAGGGGAAAAAAATGTCATATAATTAATTCTCCATAAAATTTTACTTGAAATTTAAGGTTAAAAATAGCTGTGGCAATTCAGTGTAACAAAAATCCATAGACCAAATTTGGCGTTATTATCGCTCAAAAAAAAGATGCCAAATTTCAAAACGCGAAAATATGTAAATTCGTGTATATCTTAGAAAATTTTGAATAAAAAAGTCTAATTTTTTGCAGATATGCTTAAAAATACAACTACTTTAAGATGATGGTAAAAATTTTATAGGTTATAATTCAAAATTTTTTTCGAAAAATTTATGAAAATTATTTAAAAATAGAAACTTAAAAAATAAAACACAAAAAATGGGTAAATTTTATTTGGAATGAACCTAAATTTCGAAATGTGAGAGAAAAAATCAAAAAGTTTAATAAAAAAAGAGATATTAATAAATATTTACCAAATTCAATTAACATTGAGGAGCTAAAATTTTGAGAGCTAATATTTTAAAAACTACTCGTACGATTTTTACAAAACTTGGTATTCTGGCATAATTTGAGTCGTAGAATCGAAATATGGAAAAAAAGTGGTATGTTAGTTCAGAAAAAGTCCGATTTTGTGTCAAAATACCTATGTTAGAATAGTGCTATATATAAATCTAATATATATCCTAAGTCGCGCTTTCGAGACATGAAAAACGCAATTTGAATTTTGTCAATCGGCCCAGTAGAACGGGAAATATAGCACTGTCCCATTTTTTTTTTTTTTTTTTTTTTTTTTTTTTTTTTTTTTTTGAGCAGTGTACTTTAAATTTTATTTGTGCGGTGGTTCTTTTTTCACTGCGTATATTGTTAACAAGAATGGTAATCCTGCACTTGCCTTTCTGTATTCTTTCACGTACGCGAAAGAGTATCTAACATTAGACATGAATATTTCCCTACCCAGTGCTTTATAATTTAAATAATAATGAAATACATCAATGGGCAGAATATACTTAAGTAACCATCTAATGTTGAAATATAGGTAATAGGAGCTACTTTCTATATTAATGCAGACATCACAGGTTTATAGTCTGCAATGCATCTTCATAAATATTGCATCTTCTATGCCAACCGTAAAACAAAACTTGTTTTCGTTTAGGCAGCAATTTTTTCAGTTAAAGTGAATGAAATGTAAAAATCTCAGTTTATTTACTTTGCGTCATTTATTGAACAGCTGAAAATGTATAAATGAAAGATTTTATTTTACGCTGCTGGAAACAAATTTTTCGTCACAAACACTTATTTCTATACTGAAATGGAAAGAAAATTTCTTTCCTTATAAAAAGTGCAAAAAATACTGTCGTCAAACTACGATTTCAATTTTTTCGTTTTTTAAACTCGTTATATTTTTACACTTATTTTTTAACGCTTTTACTTTAAGGGGCAACAGCATCTAAAATGGAAAAGATTTCATGATTATTTGTGTTATCTAGATATTTGAAATATTAGAATGGAAGAATTTAACCTGAGCCATTTAAAATCACATTTCAGAGCGACACAGATAAAAACACAACAATTTTATTTACAACTTTTTTCCAATACATATATTCACACAATACATCATGAGCTGTTTTCAAAATCAGCAAACATTTAACCGTTTACATGAAAGGTGAAGTACAAAGGAATTTTTAAAATGAAAGCATTCATTTAGCATTTTTCATAGTTCTGCATTTTGCTAAATTAATTCTTAAGAGATTATTTAATTTTGTTTAAATAATTATGCTTAAGATGACAGATTTGAATTATAATGTTCTTAATGATGGCTTCAAAACAACATTTTTTGTTACTACATCAATTAAAAAAAGAATGACAAAATTATTTGCACAATTTATTCGTCACATGAATGTTAAATTATTTTCTAAACACAAAGTTTTTTTGCCTAAAAATGTGTATTTATTTTGATTTTTTTTTATCATTAGAAGCATTATTTCTTTTTCGAAATTAAACATCAGAATAAAATGCTATAAACTACTAAAAATTAATCTTGACAAAAATTTCCAACGATGTTTGACAAAAAATAATCAGTCATATATTTTTATTTATAACAGAGTAATTGATTTCCTTAATCGTTATTTTTTAAGATCGTTGTACAGGGCGGAGTGGAATATGAATAAACAATAAACACTTTAAATTTCAGTGTATACTCCCTGCACCATTGCGCTGAAACCATTGATTCGAGTTCGATTTGTATAACATAGTGAACACCAGGGGCATTTGAAAAAACATATTGATGGAATTCAGAAGGGAAAGAATTCATCATCGTTTATTTGAATGCATTGTATCTTTCTACAACTTGTCAGCAATTTTATTCAATTCCAAGATTGTTGAAAAACGAAATGTTTTCCTTATTCCCCCATTTTTGTGATTCTTTTGCATAAAACTACAAAATAAATAAATAAAGAGCAAAATTCTAAATGTATGTTTCCCTTCCAGGCAAGTAAACAAAATAATTACATTCTTGATTACTATAACGTTATGAGTCGTGGTCTTATAACTTGGAAATATAAAATGTCAATGATAACTCAATTGTTATTGTCAACTTCATGTATGCTTTCCAACATGAAAGAACGTCCCAAACGTTCATGCATCGTACCAAGCTTTATAGAATGGTTTTATAAGCACATCTCTTGCTTACAGGAAGCAGTCGATGTTTCCACTCTGAAACCACGGGACTGATAACCAAAGGATGTATCCCACGAAAAGCGGACAAAAGTTATGGAACTTTTCTTTTAGGTACTACATAGCGGTACTGCCTTCAGACACAAATCTTTAATTAACTGATTCGCCACTTAAAAGTCAAGTGATCATAACTTTTGGCTTCATGGAAGCCATTTCCTCGGTGACTTATCCAAAGTATTATCAGCAGTCCATCAGCGTACTCTAGTACAATGAGCCATCTTATGATCAACATGATGCTAAACTTAGAGGACAACCTATAATATTAGAAGTAAGATCATGAAAAAAAAAAGTGATTTTACCACCTACTTATCGGCCAGCATGAGTTCGGAAACTATACTGAAATTTTTGAAAAATCGGAAATACAACAAAAAATGTTCGCATAGTTTTGCAGTAGGGTACTGCATTTGAGAAAGAACATAAGTTGTTGTCATACTTTTAACTAATAACAGGAACTAAATTCGATTGAAAGAATATTTTTTAAATCGAGAGAAATTTTTTAGCTGCAGTCCTCAGATGGCATCATCAGTAACCTGCTATTATTCGTTTTCTTACACTTAGCGATAGAACTTGTGTCCTATTAATTCTTTGAATGATTACTTTTCGGACTAGGGCTGGTCTGAGAGTCAAAATATCAGTGTGAAGATAGCCATGTCACCTACATATCCATTATAGTGAAACACAAGAAATACAGAATTAAGAAAATAACATCATTTAAATATTAAACAATAAAATAGCATCTACTAAGTAGCCCATACATTTCGTTTTCACTGAAGTTTAAAACTTGGAATTTACAAGTTCTATTTTGCTTTAAAAAGAAATATGAATACTTCTTTATTTGCAAACATAGTCTTTGATATACATCAAATATTAATACACAGACTTTAGTACTTTAAATGGTTTTCAGCTTTTTAAATATCATTAATTTTGTTTCATTTTTTATTGATAATTATATATTTAATTTTAGGAAACACTCAGGAACAAAGCTATGAGACTTTTAACAACAAACTTCGTAGATTTTCTTCAAACACACAAAAGATGCACAGATTGTCGTATCACAGAATACAAAAAGTTAGTATGCAAGTACATAATATCACTGTGTCGTCATGCAGCAAGGATTACATTCCTGTGAGTCCGAAGATACCTTGGCACGTTTTCAGTGATGTACTTGAGCATCAAAAACAGTAAAAGATGATGGAGAGCACTAAAATATGATGGCCGTGATGATGAATTCCGAACTGTAAAAGGAAAAAACGTTCATGCCATTATTACAAAAAATAAATAAATAAATGTTAAATTCAAATATTTCTACTTCGCAAAGTAATGTTAAACTGATAATTATTATTTTTATTCTCATAAATATAATTATATTTAATTGAAATAACATTATACTCATATACTGAATCCACTAAAATTGTTGTTTAACTACAAATCTAAGATGAAATTTCTCATACAGAACAAGAACTTTTAATTGCTAAAATTTCTTGTACACACAAAAATAAATACACTGGGATAAAAAAAAGGTGGGGGTTCTACATCTCCCGTTCGACTGGGTCGATTGACAGAATTCAGACTGCGTTCCTCATATCTCGGAAGCGCGACTTAGGATACATATTATATTTATATATAGCTTTGTTCTAATATAGATATTTTGACACAAAAATAATACTTTTACCGAAATAACAAGCCATTGTTTTTCATATTTCGATTCTGAGACTCAAATTATACCTAAATATTAAATTTTGTAAAAATTAGGTGCGAAATTTACCTAGAAATTCAAAAATTTATCTTGGCGTATTTTTTTCCGTTTGCGCCAAGAAGGGTTGGCTTGGCGAACTTCTTAATTTATGGCAGCCTATTTCTTTTCCCTTTTTACATTGCCCATGAAAGGAAAAAAAAGTACTTCGTTCCTACTTTCAAATAATTTTGAACGAAGAGCGTAAACTACATTATATGTTATTCTCGCATTGAACAAATATGCCAAATTTCAAAACGCGTTAATAAATAAGTTCATGTATATCTTCGGAAATTTTGAATGAAAAGCTCTAACTTTTTGCAGGTATGCATAGAAATACGTCTACTTTAAGATTACGGTAAAAAAAAAAAAAAAAAAAAAAAAAAAAAAAAAAAAAAAAAAAAAACTTTATCTTGGCAGCCTATTTATATAGGTTATAATTCAATTTTTTTTTTTCGAAAAATTTATAAAAATTATTTAAAAGTACAAATTTAAAAAATAAATCATAAAAAATGGGGGAATTTTATTTGGAATGAACCTGAATTTCCAACTGTGAAAGAAGGAATGAAGTAAGTGTAATAAAAAAATGAGATATTAATACATACATACCAAACTGAATTAACATTGAGGAGCTAACATTTTGAGAGGTAATTTTTTAAAAACTCCTCGTGCGATTTTTACAAAACTTGACAGTTTGGCATAATTTGAGTTGTACAATCCAAATATGCAAATCCAAATATGGCACGTCATTTCATAAAAAATCCGATTTTTTGTCAAAATACCTATGTCAGAGCAATGCTGTATATAAATCTAATATATATCCTAAGTCGCGCTTTCCTGACATAAAAAACGCAAGTTGAATTTCTTCAATGGGCCCAGAAGAACGGGAGATATAGAACTGTCCCATTTATTTTCCGCTGTGTACATTATCCATAGAAAAGAATTAAACACCCAAAAAAATTATTTATATTCTCTAAACCATATTAATTACATAGCAGACCAAACCTTGACAGCAATAATTACGAAAGATGAAACGTTTGCTTTTCCAAGTCCCAGCTTAGTCAAAAATATCGTCTAAAGTGGCAACGTATTAGCAGCAACATATAGCAATACTTTTCCCTTAAAAAACTGTACTTCTAAACCTTACCTTTCCTTTCTGTGCTTAACTTTTAAGTAACAATGATATAATACGTATTATGCACTTTTTGTTTTAAAACCCAACATACATAGAAGAGCCAAAACATTATGACCACCTACTCAAGAACGCGTTGCGCGATGTTTCGCCTGGAAAACAACTGCAACTCTTCTTCGCACAGTGTGTATTTAATTATGGCAAAGCTCACTAGGGCTATCTGCCTAAGGGGAGGGATGCCTTCGTGGAGGACTTTCTAAGGGAAACTGGCTCGTATACACGTTACACATGGGGAAAACCACGAAAACACCCATGCAGCCAGCCCGTTCGCGGGATTCGAACCTCGGACCGAACTACCAGTGTTCAGCGACTTTACCGCTCGGCCCGCTGGTGGGCCCTTCTTCGCACAGATACTACAAATTCTTGGTAGATGTCTGGATGTAGGTTGTACCAAATATCTAAGCAGTGGTCAAGCAAAGTCGAGATATTTCGATATGGTAGTGTTTGAATTCTGAGCTAAAGCTCCATAGCATCACGAATGTGATCCATCATGTTAAGATCCGACGAGTTAGGTGGCCAGGATATTAGTTGGAATTCACTCTTATGCTGTTCGAACACTCTAACACAATATTGTCCGCAACTTTCATTGTCTGTTCTACCACAACGTACGGTCCCAGAGCCGCCCGTGAGGACATCCCACAAAGCATACCGCTACCACCACCCTTTGTACAGGGGGGGAGGGACTGTTCGCCTGGAAGACGGCGCACCCTGATACAACCATCAACGTGATGAATGGGAAATCGTGATTTTTCCGACAAAATAAATGTCTTTCCTTACACTTGGTCCAGTCTTGATGCTCCGGTGCTCACTGTAGGCGTAGGTGGCAATGACGTTTGTTTAACAGAGGCACATGAGTAGCATGTCAGCTGCGCAATACCATATTCAGTAGTGCCCGCTGAACTGCGCGTTCCGAAACACTTGCACTTGGACCTTCATTGTATCGGAGTCTCAGCTGAACCACTGTCTTGGCGCCGACTTTGTTGTACCAAGCCGGACAGTCTAGGACGTCCTTTTTCTCTGATGAGGCATACACGTCCAACACCTTGGCGTCTACTGCTGATTTTACGTCATTTACCACTTTGTATAAATGCTAACAACAGCAGATCCTGAACAACCTACCAGTCATGAAGTTTCGGACAACTTTTGTCTAGTCCTTCAGGCTATTGCAATCTGCCGTCTATCAAATTAGCTTAGATAAGTAGCCTTTCCCATCACCCGCACAAGTAAGTGCAAGAATGATGCCTTCTCCAGCAGCAGTTAAACACCATTCCCACTTAATCACGAGCCCTCCACGTCACCCGGCCAAGTTCATTGAAAAATGACAAGATGGTTATAATGTTTTGGCTCGACAGTGTATTCAGATGTAGTATTTAGACCCCCTTTCATTTTTCCTATGTCAACACACTATGTCAGTACATTTTCCTTATGTGATCACATTATGTCAGTACATTTTCCGCTTTCATATGAAGCTCTGCTAAGTAAGTTTCTTTTAAGTAGAAGATCGAAAATGCGTACATCCATTGATATAGCTTTAGTGCTGCCACGGTTCATTCTGCATTTAAAAAAAAATGGAATACAAAACAAAAATGCGAAGAATATAATTCAGTACAATTTGATTAAATTTCACATACTGAGAACTATTATACAATTTATATTTGCAGTTTTTATTGCTAGAATGTAAAATATGAGAATTAAGACATCTGTTTTTCTCAAGCGCTAAGACACTAAGGCGCAATTAATTCCTGAAACGTTATTTATATTTACTTATTCATATGAAAAAATTCACTAAACTGGAAGCTTCTTAAAATTTATTTAAAGATGATATACATCACGCTTAAAAATTTTAATTCTAACTTCCTACCTTATCCTGTTCGAAAAAGGACCTCTCTGGTATTAGAAATTTTAACAACTTTATAAATAATAGTACATGAACATGAATTTTCCTACGTAATAACTGCAATGCAGTCATGTGTATCATGACTTTAAATGTAAATTTAACTTATCCGTATTTCAATGGATGTCTACCCATCTTTCCATGAATAGATAACATTATAAGGTATTTCTCCCGCCTTCTTAGCAAGCCTTCGTGGTGTAGTGGCCTGCACGCTTAGCGCATAATTCACAGGTCTGCGGTTCGATTTCCAGCGAAGGCGTTGCATATTTTTCCTCTTGCCTGCTTCCAAAAAATCCTAATGACTCTGCAGTGGCGTCCGAACTAAAAGGGTGCTGGATGATGAATCTCCTCACTCAGGATTTCTCATTTGGGACTCCTAAAACCCCCTAGTCGCCCTTTAAAAGGGGGAGTATATAAGGTATTTCTCCCGCTTTCTTAGCGAGACTTCGTGATGTAGTGATCTGCACTCTCAGCGCGTAATTGAGAGGTTGGCGGTCCAATTCTCGGCGAAGGCGTTGCCTATTTTTCATCTTGCCTGCTTCCAATGAAATTCTAATGACTCTACATGACACAAATTGCAGGCTAATAAAAAAAGGCACTGCTAGTTCAAGCTTGCACCAAACAGCAGCTAAGTAAAATCATATTGCATTACAAAAGTGGTTGAAAAAATAATATCTCTGACCTATCCGAAATTTTGTAAATGGGTGAAAAAAATAAAAATAAGAAAATTCTTTCGAAATATGCTGAATTAGAATTTTAAATACTTTAAAGTTTTTCTTTGGTCACGTGAAATCAGTTATTATCATTAGGAAATCGTTTTCTCATAGTTCAAATTTCTATGACTTCAAGAATTCAGGCTCACATTTAGATTGCAGTTGAATTTTGTTACAAACGCACAAAAGTGCTTAATGAAATTTCAGCATTAACCTAAAAACGCTTAGTTATTGCTCAAAAGTTTGCTATTTTCATAATAATAACCATATGGCAAACTGGTTCAATTATATTTAGTCACTAGCAACTCCGCTGCCAGCCTTCGTCTGGCTTTTAAATGTACCGGGAAAATGCCTGAAGGAAACTTCTTCAATGGCCAGACAGCCCAGGATGGGCTCTTGCCTTCCTCAGAATCGAATTCCAAGCTCTTCTATCCCTGGCTATGGACATCCAATTGGTATTTTTTAAATTCTTAAGTCTGTTTCCAAACACTCAAGCCACCTAAGTTTAGGTTTCTCTCTTTTTCGGGTGTTGAATGGTCTGGCCGAGAAGATCTTTTTAGTTACTCGATTTTCATTCATTCTGCACGGGTGTCCTGGCTATTTAATTCTCTGAATCCTTATATATTTTACTATACCTATTTCTTTAAAAGATTTATAGAGTTCAGAGTTAGTTCTTCTTCAGATATCGTTACATTTTATGCCAG